CTTACCTTCTCAAAAGGTCCTGTAAATTTAAGTATTTACTTCTGCCTGACTGACTTTATAACTGTGCTGTGTCCTCTTAGGGACAAAAAAGAGGGAAGAAGCAGCAGGACTAGCATGACAGTTGTATTCTCAGGTGACTCAAATGTTACATGCCACAGTAGCATGTTTCTGTCATTCTAATTTCTTACAGATGAAAATAATGTGAAAACTAGAGGCATTTAAAATGTCTCTTTCCAAGGTTCCTCAAACCTGTACGCAGCAAAGAAAGAAGAAAGGAATAGTTTATGATGTTCTTAATTTTCCAAGGTTAAATACACCTTTTTCAAGCTCTATTTCTTGGCAACTTTGCAATTTAGATTTTATTTTCCATAAATTTCTTCACTGTCATAGAGGTCTGGTCCATATTAGAGTTGGCTCAAGGCTTCTTAGTATTGGGGATACAAGTCTTTTCCCCTCAAGGATTTTGTCCTCATCTGTACAGGGGCAAAAAAATTCAAATTTGTTCTGGAGCAAACTCAGCATCATCGGGTAAAGGAGGACCACTACAAAAGCTCAGTAGGGTTTCTTGGAGGCCACGTTTGGGATACTCAGAGGTCACTGAGACTTCCAGGAGCACTGGGAAAAAAACAAAGGCCTGGGAAGTATCAGCAAAGGGTTTTGGACGCTGAGGTGTAGAGTGAAGGTGGGTCACCATGCAGTATCATAGGGTTGCAGAAGTGTACCAAAGAAAATTTTTGAGGCAGTTGTTGAAACAGCTTCTTTCCCCGTCACCAACTTTTCCTATATCCATGACTACATTTTGTTCCACTACTGTTACCTTGTCAAAGTTGAAATTTGAGTCATAATGAACATTACCGACATTTAAACCAAGCCATATTACTTGCCAGTTAAGACAAGTCTGAATACTTACAGGTTTTGCTGATGGACACTCAACTGTCTTTTTAAGCGCTCTGGCCAAGAGAGGGTATATATTATTTAAAGACAGAATAAGTTCATATAAATATCGAGACTCAATGTTCAATGTCCTGCACAAAGATCTAGAAGGTTTCCAGGTTAGGAAGGTTAAAGGGAGTTTCCCTAAGAAGCTGTGGTGAGGGTTGCCTAGTTTGAGAGGTAACAGAAATGCCTTTTGGAAAGGGTGTGGGATGAGGGGGGAATAGAGTTACCCCATCACTTTGTTTTAAAAGAAACAAAAAGCTATTATTAGGTGATTTTTGAATCTAGATTGTTGTACCTGTCTCTGAACTGGCCGTTAGGAAGCATAACAAGCCTACTGGGCCCTTTTCTGTCCATTTAAAGTCGTTTCAGAATGCTGCAAAGAGGTTTTAGCTCTGGAGAGCTGGAACCTAGCTCCCTATAATGAAGGTTCACTCATGCTAGCAGTTTGAGTCCATTCCTGGGACTGTACTGACCCCTAGTGACTGTAGCACTGCTTAAACCATTTGCAGACACAAATTTATTTACTTTTCTTTTAAATAAAATCTTGCTATACAAGAGAGCTTCTATCAACAAATGTCTCCACTGAGAGCAAATTGTAAAAATCCTTCTTTTTAAGCAATTCCTATGATTTCCAGGGAAATTTTGTTCTATTTTAAAACATTTTTTTCTCTCTTTGGGGTGTCCACTGCAGACAGATTTTGACATATTAATTAAACAGTTTATTTAAAATTTCAGTGCTGCGTGGATCCCAGGAGTTATTGGTTTTAATTTAGCCATATAAGTTGGTTGAGGAATAAAGCATCCTGGGAGCTTTGTGGACTTTTAATAAAATACAGGTGGTACCACTGTTAATCTGTTTACCATCTAATATGCTTTTTTTCTACACGACATGTGTGAGACGGATGGTTTCAGAGACACCATCTGGAAAAACATTAGCATATTTTCAGATGTATCAGGTGAAAGCAACAAATCATTTCTTTCCCCGGGGCCTTTCGATTCAGCAGCAAATAACGTATATGCATGGCTAATAAAAGAATAAAAGGGCAAGCTTAACCCTTTTTCAGTAGCCCTCTGCCTCTGATCATTGGTTGGTTATTTAAGGATTTACTTGCAAGTACTACTACTTTTGAATCATTGTAGAGGATGTGACACACAGCTAGCATATGAAAACGTAGCAATCCAGTATTTAGGACTGACTGTGTGAAATCCAGAATACCCTCCATTTCCTTTGAAGTTCTTACTGGGGTCCTAATGACAGAGACAACCAGCTAGAAGAGTATTAAGTAATATAATAGGAGACGTTTTTGTGATTTGGAGAATACACATTTTTATTATTTCAGTGGATCTTAGTGTGTTTAAAGCTATGAAACAGAAATCTTCGGTATGGACTTGATCACACAGAGTACTTGATCTGTTTCCATTCCTCTGATTGCAGTCAAGAGTACTTGACTCACAGGAAGTATTAATATTACATCTGGTCCTGTATTTATCATACAGCAGTGAGGTATTTGTTAGTATCTGTGACTTCCTGTGTTGAAAAAGTGATTACCTGAAAAATGGTATTTGTGATTTCTCTATCTAGGTTTACCTTTTGTTATAGGACAGTAACTCTAGATACAGGAAGCGCTAGTGAAAACGGGCGATAGAATGTACAGAGATTGTGGTTCCACAACAATCTGGCCGCATCTTGCTATTGCCATCATGGCTGTGTCCTTCTCCTCCTGCCTTTATTCCTCTTTC